GGAGCCCCACTAACCCTCGCCCCAGGGAGACAAGCAACTCCCATCACTGGCCCCCAAGCAGCCCTTCATTGGTCTTCGCCAGAGTCTAGAGCACACAGTGTAATGCTCAGTGTAACTTTTGAGTGTTTGGTGGCTCATCTGTTCCTAAATGACATAGGTGGACCTCCTTTCACCTTGGGCGCCTCTGAAATAAACAGGAGAAACTGGTGGCTCCAGCTCACCTCTGTAGGGGATCTTAGAGGGGCTGTCTGGCCAGGGACCGTGGACTTGTCCTGAATCTGCCTTGCACGGCAAATGCAGTATTTGATTTACATCGCATGATCTAGATTGACATAAATAGCAAAGGTTTCTAAAGATGATTTTATTCATATTTTATGATATCGGTTATCAGTATCAAATAACATTTTTATTTGGTGTGGCTTTAGGAGAGAAACTACTCCAGATAAAGGATAAGGGTTGAAAGCAAGGCTGGCGGGTAGGGGTGGGCATGGGATGGGGCTGAGATGATACTGACAATCATCTGCTACTCAAATTTAAAGACACGTATTCTAGAGCCTAATCAATTCCCCCATAGATTACGTGTGTTGAGCTTTGCTTAATAATTGCATTGGCACACGATTAAAGCAAAAGTGGTTATGTTAATTTCCTGCTCATAATGCATTTTTGAGAGAGAATAATCAAAATGATCATCAAACCCTTGAGTGCAGAAAAATCAATTCCATTATGACAATCATTGTATCCCTTCAGTGGGATTGCTACAGACAGAGAAGAGAGGAAGAGGAGGGGCCAAGGAAGGGGAGGGGGAGTAGGGGAGAGGGAGGGAGGGAACAATGGGGGGGGTGGGAGAGAGGAAGGAGAAGGAGGAGGGAGGGAGAGACTGGAGAATGGCTTTCATCTCCTACACTTCAAGTGGCCAAAGGACCAAAGGCATTTGGAGTCAACCTATCAAGAAGTTTGAATACCGAGCTATGGATATTTAATTTTATTTTGAGGCCAGTGGGGAAAATGGGAGATTGTAGAAGAGATAGCTTCCATTTATTAATTTAACAATTATTTACAAGTTGTATAAGACAAAAGTTCCTACTTTTAGTCCCAGGTATAGCAAATTTGTGTTTTCTCCAGCTTGAAAAATGGCTTTAAAAGTGTCCTGTGATGGCCCTCCATTACGAATGACAGAGTGCCCCACGATATGTCACGCAGTCACCATATTTTAACAACTGTGTTTACTTTAGTGGAGCTGCTACTGGGACTCACAGATGACTTACATACTTTCCCTGCAGATTAACACTGTTTAGGACATACCCATCAGCCCAGAAGCAGCCCAGAGCATGTGGGAGCGGCTCTTTTGGGAGGAGGCGTGTTTCTCCGGGGACGCTCATGATTGGCCGATTGTCAAGGTGCTAATGGGGGTGGGAGGTTCATTGCCCCTCCTGGGACTGAGGAAGGGCTTTCCCTGTGGCTTAGGGCCATTTGTGGGTGTTCTCCCACCTGCTCTTGTTTGCCTGATGTGCTCTGATCTGGGGTGCTGAGCAGGAGGCCTCATGGGAGCCTGTGTGGGACCAGGGTGGAGGGTGCTAATCGGAGCCCTGCCCCTTCTGGTCTGGGTGCAGCCCATTCCTGGGATCAGCTCAAAGGAAGGTAAGTTGATATTTACCAGGATCTTAGCAATTTCCCCTATTTTTGCCACAATTTAATTAGTTACCAAAATTTGCGCATGCACTGTTTGATGCTCTGTGTGCGTTGGGATGAGGAGTGTTGGCAGGGGTGGAGTGTGGTGGGTGCTACAGGAGAGTCAGAGCATCTAAAGATAGAAAATAAGGAAGTGTCTCCAAGATGCCTCTAGGAGCAGAGTGGACATGAAAGTGACTGGCAGTTTTGCTATCTAAGAAGGGAAATGTCAGGCATAGCAATTGCTTATGCAATGAGAAAGTCACACAATGCTGGCCTGCCCGGTTCTTCCCCATTTAAGCTCCGTTTAGAGGTGAGGAAAGCGAGACATGAGGGTCAGGAAGTAGTAACAGTTAGAACCTGGATATGCATTGAGAGCTGAGAAGTAAGTTGATTACTCCTGATAAATATCATTCTAGAATTGTTTTGCACTGTGTATTTTATGTATACACTTGTCTGAGTAGCAAATGTAATGCTCCCCCAAATCTGAAACTACACACCATTTAAATGCCACCTGGCACTTCATGACCTGAGGCCCCAGAGGAGAACAATTCCTCAAGTTTCCCCTCAGGAAGAACCCTGTTGACACAGCAGCTGTCCCTGCCGTTTTCATGCTGTGAATTGTGTGAATAGCTGTGGTTGCCTTTCTGCTTTGATTGTTGAAACTCTTCAGACAACTGTTACCCACTTTCAAGTAGCTGTTTTTTTCTTTTGAACTATGTACGTCTTAAGTACTTAAATCTTTTGTGGAGAAAGGCAGGACTTATTTAGTAAATTGTTACCTCAGGAGCAGTACCAAAAATTGAGTACTAAATCTGAAATACAGTTGCTGGTTAAAAAAAACTTTTCTGGGGGCTGGCCCAGTGGCACAGTGGTTAAGTTCGCATGCTTGGCTTCAGCGGCCTGGGGTTTGCTGGTTTGGATCCTGGGTGTGGACTTACGCACTGCTTATCAAGCCATGCTGTGGCAGGTGTCCCACATATAAAGTAGAGGAAGATGGGCACAGATGTTAGCTCAGGGCCAATCTTCCTCAGCAAAAAGAGGACTGGCAGCAAATGTTAGCTCAGGGCCAATCTTCCTCAGGAAAAAAAATTCTAAATAGGTGGCTTTTATTCATCAAAACTTAGCAAAAACAAAGAAGAGGTGAATAGTTGTATTCTGTGCTTTTTCTTCTGGAAGGCTCTCCTAGGGCTCCTGCCAGCCAGGGGATCTGTTCTGGCTCAGTGACTTCATGCAGAGAAACAGTTTTTCTCCTGTCCTTTCTCCCTTCATCAAGGACTGATAAGATCCTGGTGCATCTTTGACAGTTCCTAATAAGGAGCTTAGATGGTAATTTTTTAAAGGAAACCGTTTAAGTAATTTCATTCGGAATACTTGTACTTAAAGTAGCTTGAAATACTCCACATGACATTGACCAGTTTGCTTTAGAGTGTCTATCCCAGTCTTGCCTTCTGGCATATCCCTCCATCCTCATAGAGATGCAGGGAGCTAGGTTTGGTCCATGCTCTTGCCATGCAGATGAAGTGCAAGGCACACCCCATGTCGTGGGGGTCAGGCCCAAGGATGTGGCAGAGCAGGAATGCTGCCCCAGCCTCATAGCCCCTCAAGGACCATGATGGGTCCTGGGGACTGGATGCTGTCAGCTCTGCCTGCACCAGCACTGGCCACCAGAACATTCTATGATGATGGATGTTCTGTATCCAGACACTGAGTCCTTGGAATATGGCTATGGGATGGAGAAACAAATTGTTAATCTTTCTTAATTTTAATTAAACTCACGTAGCCCCATGTGGTTATGGCTAGCACGTTGGACTGCATAGGGGTATTTTTTGCTTCAGTCATGTCACTTCTTTGTCCCTTATCATTTCCTAGCATCTTGGGTCAGTTCTGTGGCCTTGCAAACTTGCACCCTGGGCCATTGTTATGAATATGTGTGTTCCTTTTCCCAGCTCCCAACCCTTGAAGGAAAAGGCTAGAGAGCAAGCTACGGGCTTGGGTGTGGGTGCCAGCTCAGCGGGGTGGGTGGCTTGGAAGTGGGGCTTCCTATTTGACAGAAAGGTGACAAATGGACTTCCTTGGAGTCAGAAGAAACCTCAGACTTTTGTAAGGGGCTTTTGTTTGCTAGCTTGTGGGTATTTGATTGCACGTCCTTCTTTCTGTCACTGGTAAAATAGGACAGTACATGTTTCCCCAGATCTCTGAGATTTACCCCCATAAAGCACAGCAGGAAGGAACCCAGAGGTGCTGGCGTGGACGGCTGAGGAGACTTGCGGCGCTGGAGGGAGCAAGCAGGCCCGTGTGTGCAGGACCTGTGTGCTGGCCCAACAGCAACTGCCCTTACACTCACCAGGCAGAGGCTCTGCTTGCTCATGGCCTGTCTGCAGGCCTGCAGCAAACGTCTAGAAAACACGGGATTCAGACAAATTTGCCTGAGCCCGAGCCCCCGCAGGCTGTTCAGTCATCCTTCCGGGACCCTTCTGTGCTCCTGCCTGGGAACCAGCATGTGCCAGCAAACACTCCCACTGCTTGGTGTCACTTTCTTCTCCAGTTATAGATTCATTCATAAACAATTCTGGAGTAGAGGGAAAAACGATCTAGTTTTCTAGGTAAAACACAAAATAAAACGAAGTTTTGTAATATCTTTGTTGCTAAAATGTGGATATAAAGAATTACAGGAACTAACAAAAACTTAAAAAGGAAAGAAAGAATATTTTATCATGGAGAGGACTCCGTCCAGCTCTCCAAATTGCAAAGGAGGAGACAGGCCAGGGGGTGGGAGGCAGCTCATTTCTTTGGTCACACAGGAGGGGTGGAGGTGTGTGGAGAGAGAAGGCTCAGGACATGCCAGGAGCGGAGGGCCAGCTACATGCCCCCTGTTAGTCTTTCTTGTGAAAACTTTTCTGGAAGGTGGCCTGTTCCCTAATGTCGTTGTCTACAGTTACGGCTTTGTAGAAGAGGCTGTGCCATGTCACGCTGCCAGCAGGCAGTCGATGGCAGAGCTTATGATGTCATGCTGCCTCAACACAACACGTGTGTGCTGGTGGACACAGAGCATGGAGAGAGAGGTTTAGAATAAGATCCGTGGTCAGACCTTCTCAGCTTCCGTTTGCACTCTCTCCCTTGGGTCTATTTCAGGCAGACACAGAAACACCCCTACTTAAAGCTCAATAAGAGGAGCTTTCTGAAAGTATTAGGAAAAAAGCTATTTCTGATCAGGAAAATATTATCGGCAGTTTTGGTGTTTTCCCTGTGTGTGACGTGTGTCCTGATAGGAGGTGCTCATGGCCGCAGAAGTTGGAAGCGTTAAGCTCCTCCATTTCTCTGTCTTCTAGGGGATTTAGGAGGAGGCCAGCTGGCTGACTGCAGTGGTTGTGACGGACAGACTCTGGGAAAGTCCTCGGTGCCCAGGTCCCGGGTCTCAGCTAAAGGCATTTCTCGTGACTGGGAAAGGTAAGCTGCCACTGTTCTCAGGGACTCTGATAAGCTGTATTTTATGGTATACATTCAGGAATTTTTCTTTCAAAAGGAATATTCCACTTTTACTTTAGTGGAGAAAGAAATGATGATTTTTCAAGGAGTTGCCCAGATTAAAGAACTGTATGCAGAATTAATTTTAACCCAACTGATGTCCTCCTATTGAGGCTGGGAGAGTGCCCCTGACTTTGGCCTCCAGGCCTGGCCTGTGATGTAGCAAAGACTAACTCCAGACACTGACAGTCTTCGTTAATTTAGGCAAATCCTAAGTCTACCACTTTTCCACTGTTCTGCCGTGAAAGGGTATCAGCTCAGACCTGGCAATCTGGTATCACGCGAGCTCTTAAGGTCACTGCTGGAGCAGTCATCTCCTGAGCGACACTCACGTTTATTTGGGGACTCTGGACAAGCTCTGGTGAGGGAGGTGACAGCTCCTGGATCTTGGGGCCAGTTTCCGAAGTAGACCCTGAGGGAGCAGATGCTGATCGTCTGGAGGTGAGCTCTGAGATGGGACTCTGTGCCAAGAATGGATTTATCCTGAAGGCCTTTTTAGGACTCCTCCAAGGGCTGCCTTCATCCCTGAGAAGTGCCCTTCACTCTTCCTCCAAACGGAGGGTGGCTCAGAGTTCCCAGAACCTCCTGCTGCCCGGCAGCGGACAGAGTCAAGCTGTCTTTCTACTTTCAAGTCCCTGGTGTGGAACCCAGCACAAGTGAGACATCACAGGGACCACAGATCTTACTTCTAACCCTCCCTCTCCATGCTCTGCATCCGCCAGCACACACATGTTGTGTTGAGGCAGTGTGACACCATAAGTTCTGCCATCCAGTGCCTGCTGGCTGTGTTATGTGGCACAGCCCCTTCCACACCCCTCCCCAGGCCCCAGGCTCAGTGAGGTGACCTGCCTCTGGGATGGGGATTCCCGAGCCTGCAGACCTGGTCTCCTGTGGATGAGTGGCTGCTGCAAGCTCTGAGTCACACTGCCTGGGACTGAATGTGCCCCCGTGACCTAGCTGGGGACCTTGGCATGTCACTTCTCCTCCTTACACCCGGGCTTCCCATCCTGAGAATCCGAGCACCCCAGCTTTCTCATGTGCCCACTCCACAGGATCCTTGTGAAGATGAAAGGAGATCCTCCCTGTCGTCAGTGTTTGCGTGGGCATTTCCACCTGTCATGGCTGCCTGTGTCTGTTTACAGATGGTGGCTGGGCCGGGAACATTCAGGCCGCACGCTGATGGGCCTGCTGTATCGTGGTGGGAAAGTTCTTTGTGTTGTGTCATGTCACTGCTGCCAGAAATTGGCTGATTTGGGCTACAGATTTGTCTCCTTGATTTTTCTATTACCTCGTTTTTCTTTTATTCTAAATGCCCCAGCCCCTGCCAACTCCCAAAGCCTTGGTGTTGGCACTATTTGATACACACACATCACTGTTATCGGTTGGCAAGGAATTACCCCTTTTTCCTTAGGAAGAAGGGAAAAGATAAATCGAGGAGGGGGAGTCATCGACTTTATCATAATTTTTTACCTATATGTTTCTAACATTGTAGAGAAAAATAGGTTCATGGATGCAGTAACCATTGTGATGGGTATGAAGAGGCCATTTCTGGAGTTGTGGCCTTTTGGGGTCTCCTGAGTTATTAAGGTGGAGTGGCTGGTCTGATTTGCAGGAGTAGAAGAGGTTTCATTGGTTATACTATGCCCACCATACCATGGAGTTAGGCTTAAAATGTGTGTATGTGTGATTTTCTGTATACGTGAGTGTGTATGCGCATGTGTGTCAGCTTGGGTATGAATGTACCATATCTGTTTGTGTATTTACATGTGTATACACGTGCGAGTGTATGTATGTTTGTGTATGTGTCTTTGTGTGCATGTTTTGTGACTGTGTGTGTGAAGTTGTATGAGAGTGTGTGTGCGCTCTTCTTTTATCTCCTTCCAAGCCCACCTTCTTCCGTGGTATGACCCCCATTTACAGCCAGAATGGTCTAACCAGAATGTGCACATTCCCTCATCTCTAAGCCAGAGGCATCAGACTTCCAGTGTCCCCTGAGGATCTCACAGTATATAAACTTTACTGTGGAGATGTGATGGGGAGTTGAAATCCTGCTGAAGGACCTTAGTAAGTACAATTCCCATGGGGCCAGCCCCGTGGCCTAGTGGTTAAATTTGGTGCATCCAATTTGGCAGCCCAGGTTCAGTTCCTGGGCACAGACCTGCACCACCCGTCAGCGGCCATGCCGTAGTGGCATCTCACATTCAAAACAGAGGAAGATTGGGGCAGATGTTAGCTCAGGGCAAATCTTTCTCAGCAGAAAAAAAAAAACCCAGAGTAACCATGCTCAGTGTAAACAATTAGTTGAGGCAATAAAAAGAATAAACACATGAAAAGAACAGAAGGAAGCCATCATGCAAGTTGCCATTCAAGATTCCATCTGAGGGCTTGATGGCAGATTCCCACAGTAGACACCAAGAAAGATGACAGTTTTCTGCTTACCTGCCTAGTTTGTTTTAAATCTGTTTGAATGTGAGGTCTCTGTGGCTTCAGGCTTGTTAATGTTTGACTTAGTAATGGAGGTCAGCAAACATGTTCCCCCATATCAACTTCTAATGAGACGAGTAGGCACTGAGGAAGACCATCCTGGGGCAGCCAAGTCACGGCAGTCCCCCTGCAGAGCTCTGCCCTTATGCCCTGGAGAATGGGCAGGCCAGGCAGGGCAGAGGGGCCCGCCGCCTCCTAGGAGGAGAGGCAGCCTTGTGGGACAGGGGCTGGAGCCTGCGCTCGCTCCTTCAAGATGAGTGCTCAGCTCTACTCTTCAGAGAGCGAAATGCTTTCATCCTCCGCTGCCGCTCAGAAATGCTCACTCGCAGGGCAATTTTTAAAGATTGATAACATAATTGAAAGAGTCTAGTGGCTCACAAGATGCCCCGGAAGAGAATGTGTGAACCGCCAGCAGCACTGCTGTCCTCAGCTGAGGGCGCAGGTTAATTCGCACAGGTCCCTCTTTGGAAATGGCCAGAGCCTGGGGCCCAGATCCTCCTCACTGATGGGGGTGTATTTAAATTAAATTTTCACACCCCCCATTGTGTTATTTGAAAAGATTTTAGAACTCAAGGACGAGCCCAGGGGATCCTGATACATCCTGTGAGGGCACAGCTGCTGGCATTCTCATGCTCCCTTTCAGAGGGAGGGGGTCCTTTGTGGCAGCTGACTCCCTGTTAGCTCTTGGAAGTCATGCCCACGTTGGAGCTCTGCACCAGGGTCCCGTGACCTTGTGCCGGGCCGGCAGTTGGTGGGCAACAGCAGCTGTGAGCTGTGGGGTCCCTGGCAGTGGCAGAGGCTAGGACGGCCCTTTCCTCCATGTGATCTGCCCCCAGATCTTGGCAGAAATTCCTTTAAATTTTGCAGCGTGATGTGCCTGGTTCTGGAGTTGTCCCGTTTGTATTTTTTCATTTCCTCATTTCCCTGGCCTCTGGAAGACAAGTGTGGTGATGGGTAGAAAGGAAATTCTTGGAATTACTCAATAGCTTAATGGAGACCTTTTGCCCAGGGACCACCTTCATTTGTCAAAATAGAGCCTTGCACCGGCACCACCCCCCACCAATTTTCCCCAATTCTCCTTAAATAGTGTCCTCGTCTGCCCTCTGGTGACAGCTTCTTGGTCATTGCATCTAGAACCAGGTGTGTAAAAATAGGCTTTTCTCTTAGTGGAAGCCTTGTTTAAATGAAAATATATGTCCTCCAGATTTCACAGACACCCAGGAGAGGTAAAAAGCATGAAACCAGGCTGAGTGCATTTTCATGGGAGAGATGAAACCCCGTCTCTAGGAATGAGATGAACACCTGCCAGTCAAGGAGTGCTCAGCACAAGGCAGCCCTTCCTGGTGGGGGACAGTCCTGGAGGCTATCCCCTGAAGTAGGTGCCAGCGTGCCATTCCTGTCTTACAGAGAAGAAGGAGGAGACACCTCAAGTCTGTCTAGGAAGGGTGTGTCAGAGCCTGGCCCCGTGGCCACAACAGGAGGTGGGAGAGCCTGTGGTGGGGGCTGGGTGTGGATGAGATACCCAAATCACGCCACCCCTGCCTGGTAGAGTAAAGACCAGATCCCAGTCCCCACACCTCGGTTTAGGGCTATTTAGTTTGCTGCATACAGATCTTTCTAGATTGCCAGTGGCCTAGTGGACACAGGCCCAGGTACCCTTGGCCCTGAGGAGCCACAGCATGTAGGGAAGTGGCCAGACGCCAGCCGCTGAGCATCAGAGCAGAGGCCTAGGGATCCCAGAAAGAACATGCACACCACTGTGCCGCGGGAGATGGCGCGGGGGCTGCGGAGTTGCATCTGGAACTCTGCAGGGGTCTGCTCTAGGGAGCACACGCAGGAAGGAGCAGTGGAATTGGCCTCAGCTCTGGAGGCATTCAGCTTTAAACACTCGTGCTGCTTTGCCAAGCTGCCTTGTCTTCTAGGGTCTCCGTGATTGATTTCATCTTAAAAAGTAATTGCACTTCCCCTCCCAGATGTGTGGTGGAGATTAAACCGGAAAGGCCTGATGGAGTGCCTGCTTCGTGTCTGTCAGGCCATCCACAGTCTTGTAACAGCTGGTTCCATGTTCTTCTTTCCACAGTGTGTCAGGTCCACGCAGGGGTGAAAGGACATGGTCTGCAGTTGGGGTCTCAGGAGCTGAGTGTGAACAGCTGGAGCAGGGGTGGAGTGGCAGGAGAGCCCCATCCGCCACCCGGAGGCCCGGGCTTTCAGGCACTGACATGACAGCCTCTGCCCTCGCCACCTGAGCGTGGAAGGCCTGGAAGGAGCAGTGGGGGAGGCAGTGAGACTATTTTCATAGTAAGATGAGGACTCTGTTTCAGTTTGCGTTTGAAAACAGGCCCCAAATTTGGAAAACACAAAGTTAAAAAACCACAGAAACAGCTTTCTCTTCATTGGTGTGGCAGTCAACTGTGTGCTTAGTTAATGAAAGAAATGTGGATATGGATGGAAAATCCGTCACAGGGTGGTCACGGATAAAATGATGGCGCTTGATTCACTCATCCCTCCCGTTGTTACCACCCCTGTTAGGTGTGTCTGGATGGCCTGCTCCCCTTCCTTGAAGAGCACAGCGTCTGTGAGAGCTGAGGAGAATGGAGGCCTTCGTCTCTGTAGCCAGAGCCTCAGTCCTCCCCACGAAGGAGTGCGAGTCGGTAAGGCCTTTGAAAGGAGCACTGGTGTCAGAGCCCACTCACAGGGGCTCCCCTGGGCTGGTGTCCAGCAAAGTCCACACGTGCTGAGTTCATCCCCACCCACACCCTCTAAAGAGGGACTCCTAGCTCAGTTTCCAGATGCGGAAATAGAGAATAAAAGAGGCCAGACAGCTTGCCCCACGCTCCCTAGAAGGTGACAGCACTGGGATTAGGAACCCCTGTCTGAACTCAAAGCCTGCTTCCTTACCCTCTTCTCCTGGGATTCCCAAACTCAAGAGAGTCCTCAACTCAGGCTTCACGTCTGATAGATCCGAGGAACTAAAAAATACTACAGAGACGGATTTAAATGGTGTACGTGGGGGCCCTGGCATCAGTGTTCAAAACAATGCAGAACAACTCTTTTGGGATTCTTATGTGTACAGCATGTGGAATTAATTTCATTCATTTAGTTCATTTATCTTCAGTGATTTATTTTTATGTAACTTATGATTTTATGTTTTTATGATTTTTAATGTAATTTTCCTGTTCAGGGATATTTTAGCATGTTTTAAGGAATCAGACGTTTTTTCTTCAGATAATTTGGCCACAGTAACTCTGATAATTGATTGGTTTCAGAGAAACAGAAGTCACTTTTTATTGTTCACAAAAATTTTCTAAATATTTCTTCTTCATGGACACATCCAGTTGGGGAAATTACTTTATACCTAAGTTGGTATATTAGCCTGTGGTTGGCAGCTCAATTACGCTCGTAACACACTTTATTTTATTTTTCCTTTTTCTCCCCAAAGCCCCCGGGTACACAGTTGTATATTTTTAGTTGTGGGTCCTTCTAGTTGTGGCATGTGGGACGCCGCCTCAGCATGGCTTGATGAGCTGTGTCATGTCCACACCCAGGATCTGAACTGGCGAAACCCTGGGCCGCTGAAGAGGAGCTCGCGAACTCAACCACTCGGCCACAGGGCTGGCCCCTGTAACGTACTTTAGACAATGCTCAGGAACATGGCCTTAGACTAATTTTCTTCAGCTTTTATTAGCAGAAGATATTAATATACTGGACTCTTTCTTTTTGTTTTAATTTATTTTTTTATTCTTTTTGTTTTTTGAGGAAGATTAACCCTGAGCTAACATCTGCTGCCAATCCTCCTCTTTTTGCTGAGGAAGACTGGCCCTGAGCTAACATCTGTGCTCATCTTCCTCTACTTTATATGTGGGACGCCTGCCACAGTATGGCTTGCCAAGCAGCAGTGCCATGTCCGTTCCCGGGATCTGAACTGGCGAACCCCAGGTCACCAAAGTGGAACATGCAAACTTAACGGCTGCGCCGCCAGGCCAGCCCCTTAATACACTGGACTCTTGAGAGTAAATAGTGGCATTGAATCAAAATATTTAATTTGAATTCCATATTGTCCTGGAAAATTGGGGGGAGTCAAAGGCCCATATTCCTGCTTGGGTGGTGCTGGTGTTGATTGAATAAAGTCTGAGACACATCCTCTGTTAGACGGCCCAGCCCACTGCTGCTCTTGGCTGCCGGCAGGCCTCCCGCTGGGAGTGAAGCTGGCTGAAACCAGAGACTGGGTGTTGAAGGAGCTTAGACAGAAGCGGCTTCACGTCAGACAGAAAACCAGTGCACCCACCTCTGTTCCATCGTGGCAGTGCCCCCGCTCTGGGGATTAGGGACTTTCCACGAAGGGGCCCTGCCAGCTGCAGGTGCTTTGGGTAGAGGGTGGGGCTGCAGCAAAGGGGCTCTTGTGCCAAAGGCAGCTGCTCAGCTTGTTGCTCTCACGGCTCTGTGCAGGGCCAGGGCTCAGTGGAAGTATTTTCATTAACTTTTGATTACAGACATTTTCAAATGTCTACACGAGTAGAAAGAATGGCGTCGTGAATACCCTTGAACCTGTCATCAGCTTCAACAGTCTTCACCCGTGCGCAATTCTTATTTCATCTGCTCCCCTCAGATGTGTGCAGAGGGGATGTGGCCTCTCTGGGCCTCAGAGATGGGGAGGGGGCTTCCTCTGGGAGTGTCTAGATGGCCCGTTCAGGACATCCTAGCTTTTAAACTTTGAGGTGTCTGTTCATCGTGATGTTTGCCCAGCAAATCCCCAGCTGGCCCTTTGGACTGTGGTTCCTTCCCCGCTCACACACATTTCCCTGACTTGGGACCTGAGCCTTCATCATTTCAGCACCGCCGCTGGTGAGGGCCAGAGTGTGCCTCTCCGGAGTGTAGACCCCGGTTGCATGAGTTCCTGACATTGCCTGGTATATGCTTATATCCAGGACACTGGAGGAAGCAAGGGAAAAAAGAAAAGGTGTGATGCAGGACACAGCAGCGCCCCGGAGGCGCAGGGCTCCGTAACTGGCCTGTTAGAAGCCAGGTGGCCTTAGCCTCGTGGGCTGGTGTCTTCGTGTTCTGTTTATAAGCATGCAGAGTCGAGCCTCTTCTCTGCGCCCCCCATTGCACTCCTCAGACCTTGTTTCTCTTTTCTCTAGAGGTCCGCGTTGATCATGCGCGTTTTGTGAGTGACTGGACATTGAGCTGTCCTCCAGGCATTGCGACAGGGACGGAAGACGACGTGGAAGTAGAGAACCCGACCTCGTCAGCTTCATGGGGGAAGGTATTCCTGAGTGCGAGTACTTCCATGTCGGGGAAATCAAGTTTTTCCTCCCAAAACAGCGCACATACGTGTCCAGCGCAGTGCAGGAAAGCCTCCAGGGTTCTGCAGTGGTGGATCAGACATGGTTTCCTATTACGTGTGTTGTGTCAGTGAAGCAAGGTTAAGCTGTAAAACCTTGATTTTGTTGTGACAAACCTGGATACTGTCCGGAGACAGGGCGCGCTGATAGGGAGCACCCCAGAGGGCTCCGCCTCAGCAAGGCTTCCTGCAGCTGCCCGAAGGACAGAAACCCTGTTATTTTTCCATGAGGGGCTCTTTGTAGGCCTCTGTGCATAAGACTGGGCTACTCAGAGGTATGAGCACTTGCATCTGGTTATCAGAATGGCCAACGGAGGGAGGTGGGGCTGTGAAGGGCTGGGAAGGGGGCAGGGATCTCCGTGGTGCAAGAAGAGAAGCAAGGAAGTGTCTTAGCGAGTAAGTGCGGTGCGGTGCCTGCAGCACAAAACGACCCATGTGTGACGTGCTTTTTGCTGAGAGTGAGCTCTGACTCCAAACAGACAAATGCAGTCAGCCCAGAGTCTTGCATTTGATGTTCTACTTCAAAGGAGCCTGTTCTCCAGAAGCTCCTGGAACCTCCACAACCTTGGCAGAGGTCATCCTGCAGTTCAATTGCAGTGTTCCTCAAGGAGGTGACATCGCATGCCCTTCCCCAGGCTCACAGTGCCTCAGACGGCCTTTGTGTCTGAAAGCTAATGTCCTCTCAGCCCATCGTGTTTCTGTCTGGAGCTTCCACGCTCAGCTGCCGCTTTGGGAAAGGAGAGTTCAAAGGGGTGTGTTCAGGTTAACAAGAAACGATGTTGGCAAAGATGGACTTCTGATAATCTAAGAGCAGGAGGTCAGGACAGGTTTGATTTTAGGTGAGATTACTTGTTCCCCATATTACACAGGGTCCATAGCCACACACAGACTTGCCCAAGATTCTCAGCCACCTTCCCCTCCTGCCTCCAGACACAAGTGGCCTCAGCTTCTTGCACCGCTGCAGAGCTGCCACACAAAATCACTAAACGAACAAACGGTGCCCCAGGCCTGCCTCTGAGGATGCTAATAAAGTCAGCCTGGCTTGTCCCGAGAGGTGTGCTCATTACCTACCTCTCCCTACTCCCCGCACCTGCCCAGGTGACTCTCCTGTGTGGCCAGCCCAGAAGCTCTGCTTTCTTCACAACAGATGCCATAAGAGTTCAGCCGTCGTGTCCCAAAAGGCTTGGTCCTGCTGATTGTGCCATGGGGATCTCCGTGGTTCTGTGCTTCCAGTCAACCTTGAGCTCACTGCTACATGCACCTGACAACTTTGCCCCCAAGAACCCCGGTGGAGTAGGACCAAGCCAGGGTCAAATACGGTCAAGTGATGGCCACTTGGGCCTGTGAACCAAGGCCCTGGACCCATTTGATAGTTAGGTGTTGTCGTACCATAGGGTTGTGCAAGGTTGAGATTCTGCATGGAGTTTGTAAACTGCTTCTGCTGCAAGGGGAAATACAGAGATGGCTCTCTAACTTCAGCAGGATACAAAGAGTATTTTCTATTGGTGGAGTTGATTATAACAAGATTAGGTAAAAGTCATAGTAGGTTAAATGTTACATATAGGGTTAATAATAAAATTCAGCTTTCTAGAACAAACATAAAATGAGTAAGTGAAGTTTCTTTTTTCTTTTTATTATTTATTTATTTTTTTTTTTTTTGAGGAAGATTAACCCTGAGCTAACATCTGCTGCCAGTGCTCCTCTTTTTGCTGAGGAAGCCTGGCCCTGAGCTAGCGTCTGTGCTCATCTTCCTCTACTTTATATGTGGGACGCCTGCCACAGCATGGCATGCCAAGCAGTACCATGTCCTCACCCGGGATCTGAACCGGAGAACCCTGGGCCGCTGAAGTATAATGTGCACACTTAACTGCTATGCCACAGGGCCAGCTCCCCTTTTTTATTTTTAAATTTGAAGATTATATTTATTTTCCAATAAGGAGAAGTCTGATACTAAACACATTTCTTACTGCAAGTAAGTATCCTGGTTCAGGCTATAGAACAAACTGCCGTGGTTTGGGTAGAAGAGGAGGGGCAACTCCCTGGAAACAGGTCTTGGGCTTAGGATGACAGGACAGAGAGCACAGGCGTGCCTGAGCCGGCCCTCACCCGCGCTGACTCTCACTACATTCCAGGGTCTTTCGGGTAGTGATGGCTAACACCCCCCTGGCCTTCTTTCTCGTCTTCCGGACAAAATGATATGGGCTGGGTTAGTGCTTTCCATTCTCAGAGTTTGCTGTTCTCTTAAAAACTGTTTCTCCCATTGAAGCTTGTGGCCCCTGATCTGAATTGAATTTTCGTTAATACTGGATCAAAAATATTTGGTACCTTTAATAACATTTCCACAGTAGTCATCACTGCCCCCTGCAGCCACGGGGCCTGTGGTTCAGGCGTGCGAGTGTTGCAATGTCAAAGAGGAGCGTGGACGGCCACCCCTCCCCGCACAGTGCCGTCTCGAGGACCAGCCTGAATGCGTCCTCCCCCCTTGTCTGTTGTTCTCTTGGGGTTCTCTGTTTTGGGCTTCTTCAAGTTTGCCTTTAGCACAACTGTTCCAACAACCTAGTCTGCTAACAACTCTTTAGTCCTAGTCGGAAAACCCTTCCTATCCAGGGAGAGCGTGCTGTGTAAACTATTGCTGGGCCCGCACGCTTCAGAGAGCGGGAGGCGCGCGGTCAGGGCTTTCCCAGGTGAGCTGGGATGTGTGGCCCCTGCTGACAACCAGAAGGTGTCTAGACATTTCAAGCTTTTCAAAGACAAACAGTTTTTTAAAGTTGCACTTGCTGAATTATTTTGTGATATATTGGTATAATTTGATGGGTGCTGTAAATATAAAAGGTGTATAAATGTAGAATTCAACCTTTGTAAGTATACTTTTATACCTTTGTAGCTACCTAGACAAATTTTTCTGAGGTTCTTCTTGAGAGTTCCTTGACCTAATGTCCCTCCCTGGAGAGAGGCTCGCATCCTGAGGCGGGTTGTGCTGTGTAACACAAAGCACACGCACTGTCACTCCCCCCCCAAATTCCACCCTTTACCCAGTTACCCAAATGCATACCTTTAGCAAGTCTGACAAACTCTCTAGAATGTTACTTCCTGAGTTTCATCAAGTGGAGCTCCATTTTCCTGGATGCACTATATTACTCTTTTCTCAGAAGTATGAGCTGCACATGGAAGACCAAAAGAAAAAGAAAAAGTGGAATTCTCCCTTTGTCTGTGTGTTTGAAGGCTGACAGTGTTATTTCCTATGGCGGCTCCCTGTGGTCAGACGTTAGGGACACTCAGCCCTCGCTTCCTGAGTGGTCTTAATGCTGCAGACTCTTGACGGCGGTCTGAGGAGCCCGGCCCCATCCACCTGGGCCTGTGCAGCGCAGCATTGCCTATGGGCCTCCACTTTCTGAGTTCTGTTTCTGTTGAAAACACAAGCATCCTTATTGTATCCTGAAGGTAAGAAACTCACTAGTTCTGAGCTTGAGCACCAGCTGATGCGGAGCACTGGCTTTCTGTGTATTGATTCAGAAACCAGCACATATGCACGTACACTCTGTACAATGGAGGCCCACAGATCCTGAGAGTGACAATGACAAGGGTCTGCCCTCCAGGAGCTCATGGCCTAGGGAGGGAGGAAAGCACAGAGCTCATGGTGAATGCTGTCCTGTCAGGGCCTCTGCCCTGGGGCTGCACAGTGCCCGGCTGCGTGCCTGAGGGTATGAAGCCTGGCTGGGTGGCATGGAGCACCTTTCCAGGAGCCACTGTGCTGATCCAGGGTTAGGTCACAGAAGAACTCAGAAAAGGCATTATGTGCAAAAAATAGCATGATGTTTTGGAGGATCTACAAGTAGTAAATAAATGGTGTTAGTGAAATGTGTGGTGGGTGAAGGACGGAAGTGAAGTTGAAAGATAGGCGGGGATAGATTAAAAGACTTCTTGTGCTAAATTTACGAGGCTGTAATCTTGCTTAGATGTAATAAGAACTGTATAATTCTCAGAGGGTTTATAAAGATTCCCATAGCCAGTGTTCTTATTTAATATGAAACATGGCTTTTTTCCTGTTCTTTTTCCCTTTTTTTTTTTTTACCATTTAAACCGTTTTAAAGTGTGCAATTCAGTGGCATTTAGTACATTCACAGTGTTGTGCTATCGTTACCACTATCTAGTTCCAGAGCTTTTTTGTCCCCCCAAAAGGAAACACCAATCCCATTAAGCGTGTTTCTTCCAAACCCCACCCTTGGCAACAGCTAATCTGCTGTCTCTATGGACTTGCTTACTCTGGATATTTCATGTAAGTAACTAGAGTTGGAAAAGAAATCCTTGGCTTTTAAATTGTATTATTAGAGACGGACTTCAGCTCAAGAGTAGAATTTCTGGAAAGGACTCTGGACTCTGGGAACTGCAGACGGAGCTTTAAGGGGAGGCCCAGGAGCTGGTGGCAGCAGGGATTCCATCGTGGCCAGGACTCCTGGCTCCATCCCCGCTCCCTTTCCCTCTGGCTGCTCACAGCCCCTTCCAGGGCTCTATGGAGGGGAAGCTGCCTCAATCTGGGGTTTAATATCCTCAAGAAAGGGCAGGACCCTCCCCTAGTCATGAGCAGACTGGCGAGTGGCATGGGCTCCCCTGTGCCGCCCACACTGGGGGGCGGGTGGGGGTGCAGAGGGCCAGAGTTCCCCGTATCTGTCAGCTTTTGCCTTGGCCTTCTCTACAGCTTGGTATGGTTTTCTCTGGGGAGCTGAAGCATCTGGTGTCCTGCAGTCACAGTGCAAGAGGCCTGCAGGTAGAGAGCAATGCAGATAGTTCAGGGAGCATGTCCCAGAGAGGGGAGGGGCCTTTGGTCCCAGAGAGGGGGAAGGGCTGTTGGTTATTAGGTCCCAACTTATTAATCGATTGAAACTACTTCCCGTGAAAATTATGTCAAGAATCAAAACGAAGCTTAGGCCCCTAATCTGAGGATGGTGGCTGCTTTTTTATACATATCTATAGGGGATCACTGTCTGAGGGCCAGGGCTTTGTGTGTGGGGGAAAGTGAGGTGGCAAGTCTGGGAAAGGTCTAAGACACCCCTCCCCCTTCCTCCTGCTCCTCCTTGCTGTTTTGGCCTGGGAATTGTTTTTTTTCGCAGGAAGCTGCTCAATAAAGCATCATGGCACTGGTCTGCTCCAGGTGCCTGGTGCCTGCCCCTCAACGCCCCTACCCCTACCCAAGCCTTGAACCTGCCCAGGCCAACCCTTGGTTTATCTTTGAGTTCCTTCTACTCAATCCTGCTTCCAGTCCAGCAGCCTATCCTAGCTTTTGGCTTCTACAGGTGTCCAGAACTGACCCCTCCTCATTGGCTCCGCCACTACCCCCTCATCGTGGCCACCATGTCTGATCCAGTGGCCCTGGTCTGGCTTCCCAGGGCTGCTGTAACAAATCACTACAATCCAGGTGGTTTAATGCCGCAGAAATGTATTCAGTATGATCAGTTTCCCTGGGCCGAAATCAGGATGGGCCGGGTCACCCCTGGGATGCTCCAGGGGGAAATTTGTGCCTCCCCCAGCTTCCAGTGCCCGCATTCTTTCCCTCATGGCTGCGTACCCCAAGGATGAGCCTCTGGGTTTGATTTTCAGCAGTCTCAGCCCTGCAGCTACAGGAGAGAGGATTTCATTGGGGCAGACATAGATCATTTACGCAGCGCCTGAGCTGGGAATCCCATCCCTGAGCTCCCCCTTTCCTTACCTGCTTTGTCCAGTGCTGTTACGGACAACCAGCCAGTCTCACTGTACTCGCTGGTTTGACAGAAGTGTTCTGAGGTGCCTTGCCTCTAGTAAGTATTTGATTAGGGGTATCCAGTGGTGATGTTTTGCACATCTCTATTGCCACATCGCATCATGGACCATCAGTGCTCTCTTGCTACCAGAAATAGAGCCATTAGTGTCTTTAACTCCAATCAGATTGGAGAACCAATTCAGAAAAGGCTTCCTTGAGACTCTTGCCTCCCACAATCATTTTTCAACATAGCAGTCAGACTAATGCCTCCAAAACATAGGTCAGATTATGCCACTTTTGTGCTCAAACCTCCATCTCACTCAGAATGAAATTCAGAGTCCCTGTGGTCTGAAGACCCCATCTGACCTCCCTAACTCGCACATCACCTCCCTGCTTTTTTGGTGCCCACGCGTGCAGCTGCAGCCAACAGGCCTCCCCGACATCCCCAAGAACATGAGAAGAGGGGCTTGTCTGCTGTCTTCGCTGCTGGTTCTCTGGAGCCCAGCGCAGAGCCTGGCACGTAGTAGGGGCCAACTGTGATTTTCTGAATGAAATAATGTTACTTTGCCAAATTTTTGAGGTCTTTATAAGCAGCGCTCAAATTTTTTTTTCCCCCACAGAACATTTTGGAAACAACTAGTGAAGCCGTGTTAAGTGTTGTTAATGGGAGAACACAAGCAGCTCTGGATCGGGGTAACCATGCCCACAGGTATGTTAATAAACCACAATTGAGACCCTGCTGTTTTGGACGTGCACACGGGCTTGCAAAGACACCTACCCAGGCCAGGGTGAGTTGGAAAGTGCACCTCAGGGGTACATAAGATTAAAAAGAACATGCAGAACACAACCGTGATGGAAAAATGAGTGGTATTTGAAGTTAGTTGATAGAACTACGTCAGGCAATATGACCAACTTAACCCGAAATGTTGGAAGCCATACAAGATGACGCCATATAACATTTTGTCATCTCACAGTTGTGAAATCTGGGAGCATAGTGAGCCTTACCAGGGTACAAGTACTACATACTATAAGAATTGGTTATTTCATGGTGGGAAACACATAGACTTTAAATCAGTAGCATTAGATGGACCTTGAGCACGCGATGCTTAGTGAAATAAGCCAGTCACAAAAAGACAAACACCGTGTGATCCCACTCACATGAGGCACCTGGAGTAGTCGAGTCCCCAGGGAGAGAAAGTAGAAAAGTAAATGTCAGAGACTGGGGAGGGTGAGGAGGAGTTGGTGGTTAATGGGGACAGAGTTTCAGATTTGCAAGACAAAAACGTCCTGGGGACGTTTCACAACATGTGAATACACTTAACGCTGCTGAACTGTACACAGAATGATCGAGATGGTAGATTCTATGTTATGTGTTATTACTGGTCACTAGTAATAGTAAATAAGATCCAGTCCCCCTTCAGGGACCCCAAATTTGGGGCAAGAGACAGCTGTCATCCACAAGGTGAATGAAGCTGTGCCAGGGCCTCCAAACCGTTGGGGGTCCATTCGGGGGCATTGGGCTGTCGCCGAGGCATGGAGAGCTTGGAATTGGGCCGCAGAGTTAGGTGGGGGTCAGTTAGGTGGAGCAGGGAGGGAGTCATCCCAGCAAACGCGAGGACAGCAGGCCTGTGGAAGCCAGTGGCCAGTTGGGGAAAGCGGCTAAATTGCTGTGTGTATCAGCCACCTCCACTGGGTTGTGCTGCAGGGACAAAGCCCTCGGTCCCAGTGGTTTATAACACCAGATAACAAAGGCTTATACAACAGAAGCAGAGGCTCATTTCCACGTCCGCGGGGCCCAGATGTGGCTCTGCGCATGACCACTTCCTTCTGGGACCCAGCTGAAGGAGCGCGCTGGGTGCAGATGTGCCCCACCTGTCTTGGGCAGAGAAAAAGCAAGGGCGGCACCTCATGATGGCCCTTGAATCCTTAAATCAGCCTCTCCTAGGAATGCCACGAGTCACTGCAGAGGCTGGGGCCCATGACTCAGTCTACCTGTCGGGTGGGGGAGACTGGACAGGGAGGGAAGCTAGGCAGGAGAGATGGGGCGGGCGTGTTTTCTGGAGCTGGGAGCCGTGCTGCAGTTTCTGCTCTGCACTTGTAGGCATGCAGGCTTCAGAGGTGACAGGGTCAGGTTTATGTTTTGTTCTTGCACAGCAAGCACGGAAGAGGGAGTAAAGCACAAAGCAGAGGCACATGTCCTTCTCTGCTCCCCTAACAGTGCAGAGAGCAGACTGGGGTACAGGGGTGGAGGAGGGGAGCAAATCTAGCAGAACACAAACACGGCAGCACATGTGCTCAGAGACCAAGGCCTGGTCTCACTTGTGACCATGGGAACAAACCCGCTCAGTCACTGCAAGGAAATTCAGGAAAAGAAACATGAATGAGGGCCACCCACTCCGCATACCTGCCCCCATCCCCTGCTCTTCCAGCCTCCTCATCTTTGCTCACAACAATGTTGGGGAGAATGAGACCCCACGAGGTGACCTTGTGGGCCAGTGCCCTGGACATGTGGGCCCAGGGCTGTTGTTTCTGGAGTCTACATGCTAGCGATAGCCTTCCTTTCATGCCTCGGGGGTTTGATAGCTCAGGCCTTTCTGGGTGTCTGTCCTCTTTGCAGCATACATTTCAGGGTGGTGCCTCAGTGTGAAATCCCTGCCCCTCTCTGATCCTACTGGGTAGATTGTGGCGTCCTCTGGTGCCCCAACTGAAAACTCACTCTTTCTCCACCGCTAGGGCAAATCAGTGAAGAATTCCCTGGTTTATTTTTGAGAAATGATTTAGAAACTTAGCCAATGTGTAAGTAAATGTGTTCAGTTAAAGAGAAAAGCCCAACTGGAATTAACATTACTTGTGTACCACCATGGAAAATGTAATTATTTTCTCTCTGCCCTGGCCTGTGAGCTAAATCAGGGCCTGCGAATGAACAAGGTAGATGAGAGTAGGTCTGGGGTTCTGCCCGTGCTGGAGCTCGTCTGCCCCATGGCCCACGCTGCCCCGCTGGTGCCGTCCATCCTTGGTCCTCAGCTGCAGCAAAGCAGAGGTTGTTGAGGGGGCAACCATAGGCTGATGTGCTTGGGTTGAGGGGGGCCTTCCTCCCCGAAAACACGGGAAACTGAGGCTTGAATAAAACCATTGGAGGAGGTTCTCCTTGTCTGTCCCCGGAAGTTTGCAGTGTAACCCCACCCCCCTCCCGTGCCAGCTCCTTGCTGAGTCCTTTATGTTTTAACCTGGCGGGCACACATGGCCCCTCCCTTTCCTCCTGGAGCTCAGCGAAGACCCGTGGGATCCTTTTTGAGAACATTACTGAATTAAGAACTAAAGGAAGATAAAGAAAAAAGCAGGAAGCAAGCAAGTCTGGATGATGAACAGATCCTTAGGAAACATGTCACATTAGGAATGGCTACAGTAACTGAGGCTGTCACTTCTGGGGGACACGGCCGTTGAAAGCAACTGGAGCTGGTTTGGTTGATAGAATATGGAGATGGGGTGTCCCTGTGCCAAGAGCTCCAGAATGGGGAAGTGAGGCCATGGTGGAGACAGAGCCTGGGGACGGACCCGGGGAGGGCTTGGCCCGGGCAGCTGTCCGGGGACAGTGAGCTCACAGGGCCTGTGGCATTTGTGCTGCATTCTGAAGCTAACCGAGCATTTTCCACATTTAGTATTTCATCCTCTTCACGAGGGCAAGCTTCTTGTCTTCAGAGCTTCCAGCACGTTTCAGACACTGGTAGTAGATGTTAGCTAGGCTGAAATCCAGACAGCAGGCAATAGAACCATCACTGTTATGTGGATGGGGCTCTGAGGCACCAGGCAGCCCACCTGAGGCCTCTGAGCCTCTTCAGGGCCTGCGTCCACCCCCTCTGACTCATGACCACACCCTGAAGGCCAAGTGAGCCTGCCCAGGGTTAGAACAGCCTGGGGTGAGATGCTCAGCTTCACCTGCCTGAGTGAGGGGTAGGGAGTGAGGCTGGTCTTGCCAAAGGAGGGACCCTGAGGACACAGCACCTAGAATCGCCACCCGGTCAGGGGGCGACATCTGAGTGCCTTAGGCCTGATGGGCCTTGGCGCATCCCTCGTGTAGGGCCCACCTCGGCTCTTTAGCCTATGACATTGGCTGTCATTCAGGGTCCTATGACAATGGGACACGTAGGGGACCCTCTAAGTGGTCCTCATCCTTGCTGGCTGTGGTCATGCCCATTGCATCCCATTCCCAGCCAGACTTTGAACCTTTAAATGCACCAGACTGGCAAGCAGTTTCCACGACCTGGGAGCAGCTGCCAGGCCTCCCTCTGCAACCCTAGTCACAGATCGATTCTGTGAAGACCCCCTCTGCCACAGGGAGCATGCATGGCTCAGTGTGGCCTGAGCCCAGGCTGCAGCCCCTGGATGGCAGAGCATGTTCAGTGACCTGCTCTTTGGGTGAACACTCTGAAGCAGGGTCCGAGTTGGGCACAGATTTTGCTAAATAGCTTTAAAAATGCCCCACTCCTCAGTGAAACTTCTCACCAAATGCTTGGGCAGCACTTGCTGGTTCAGTTTCTAAGTGCATCACACCCCTGAGCATCACCCGGCCCATCCATGCACAGGCGCCTGGCACAGTGCTAGCCTTTCCAGGAAAGCTGGGGTGGAAGTAGTAATCAGATGTGCCAAGTGAGTGAGTGAGGCGCTGCCAGCTTTCCTGCTCTTTTTGCCTTTTCCCTTCATATTCAGAAGCCCCCAGGAAACTTCTGTTAGAATCATGAGCTTCTGGAACAGCAGTGGCTGCAGGCCCCATGGCCGATGGATGTGTGCAGTTGGGAAAGCAAACAGTGCGTTCTGTGATCTGCTCCAGGTTGGTGTCTGACCCACGAGGTTGAGTCTCATCAGAGAGCTGCGGGTGGGTGCAGGCAGCCCTCAGGGTTTGTTGGTAACAATATTTTGAACTTCTAGTCCTTTGGATACTGCTCAGGCAGTTTGAAAGCATAACTAAAATTTGTCTCTGCAATAAGGGAAAATATATGTCACATTTTTTCTGTTTGCAAGAGCACCATCTCTCAGCTGTCCACTTCAATTTTAGCTGACCCTATAAAATAGGTCGTTTTCTATTAGCTTAGCTGGGGGAGCAGCGTGAACTTCTGATAATAATCTTTCCCTAGAATCCTTGCCAGATAAAACATGCCTTGTAGTTCCAGCTGGCACCAGCTGGGTGCTCTCTTGGCTGATCTGCTGGAAAGTAGGAATTGTCTCCTCCTCAATGTCTTACCAATGCATGGGGCCGGTTTGTAGTAACCCACTCAAATAAGGGAGCCCTCAGCTTCACTGAGGCTCCTTATTAGTTGGTTTTCTGACCGTGGAGAAACACTAGTACTGATGGCAAACTTGGGCATGTCCTAACCCCTCACTGTCATCAAATTTTTAAATTCCTGTGTACCTGTCCTGCGGCGGGCCCCTGTAGCTTGAAAGTGGAAATTCCCTCCTGTGCCATGGGACCACTGCACTCTGCAGAGGACGTGGCTGCAGAGCTGCTTCCTGGGACTGACGTCACATCGACCACTGTCACGATGGGTGACATCAGAGTGGCTGCATCTGCTCAGATCAGCCCCCAGATTTCACCTTCTCTCACCTTGCCCAGCAGGTAGGGTCAGTGTGGTATGAAGGCCAGTGTCCCCTCCAGACCCAGATCTAGGAGCCCTGCTCAATCAGCTATGAAGATAGTAATATCTTACTTGTTCTTTTCAGTGGCAGTTGCCTTTGTAGCGAGTGACCACGCAGTTGGCCAATGTTTCCCATTGGAGCCCATGTTACTTGGTTTCTTTTATTTTTCGAATCAGTTGTAGGGGAGGAAGACATTTCCTCTACCCACTGTGGGTTCTTCTGGCTGGAGAACAAATTAAATTCACATGAGACAGAATAATAGGAGAAAATTAAATAAGCTTTATAACATGTATACATGGGAGAGGCTCAGGCAAGCTGAGCAACTCACCAAAATGGCTGAAGCCCCCACTTTAAATATCATCTTCAGCTAACGACAAAGGAGGATGTTGGGGGTGGAGGTGTAGTCGATCATGGGAGATTACCACACAAGTACAGTAAACAAATGCAGATTTAAGTCCTTGCCTTTGGCATTGATTAAGAGTTTCTAGAGATAAGGTCATTCCCCCCTTCTTCCTGGTACAGAGAGGGAGGCACCTTTACAGATGGAGATTTCCTTTACAATGTAAATGTCTCCTAACAAAGGGCAAGCAAGTTTCACTCCTCAGAGCCTCCTTCCAGTCTGCAGTTTATTAAAAGTAACCAGCCCCAAATAATCCTCATGCCAAAGAGACATATCTTGGGGTGGCCAATGCCAGTCCCCCACACAGTCACATATCCAGACTAAAGACTTGTGTGTATTTTTTTAGTGAGATATAATCAACATATAACGTTGTATTAGTTTTAGATGCACAACGTGATTTGATAAGTCTAGTTAACATCTGTCACCACACATAGTTATAAATTTTTTCTCTAGTGATGAGAAGTTTTAAGATCTATTCTCTTAGCAGCTTTCGAATATGCAACAGAGCATTAATAACTATAATTGCCATGCTGTACATTATATCCCAGGACTGACTTATATTATAACTGGAAGTTTGTCCCCTTTGACCCCCTTCACCCATTTCATCCCTCCTCAACCCCACCTCTGGCAACTACCAATCTATTCTCTGGATCTATGAGCTTGAGTTTTTTTAGATTCTACCTCTAAGTGAGATCATACAGTGTATATGTGTATTTCTAATGGGACATGCACCGCACGTGCAGAGGAGGGACATCCCAGGGAGCATGGAGATTGGTCATTAAGATACTTAAATCATTCCCAATTCCGTGAAAGTTTTCTCTCTATGTTAAGCTTTTTCTATTCTCTAGTTTATGCTATTGGCTACCTGACTGTGCCAACACCACAGGCGTCACCCTGAACAGATTTTAACAAATAATGGAGGATCACAGAAGTCCTATATTATTGGAAGCTGAAGGTGGAGTCATCTAGACTATTCCTGACTCCTCAACTTATTCACAGCACAAAGAGCTGCATGTAGAAATGATGGCACCTAACCCACATAGAGCGTTTTTACAAAAACATCAAAGGTAGTGACTCTTGGGGGAAATACTTTTCATGTCCATTACTTCAGTGATGAGGGGAAATATTTACATTATTGCTGCGATTAATGCAGCTAGAACAGTGGTTCTCAGATTTTAGTGTCCTGGGAGCTTGCTGGCCCACCCCAGGCTTCTGACTCTGGGCTGGGGTGACTCAGTGGGCTGGGGTGCAGCATGAGAACTAGCATCACTCACAAGTGCCAGGTGATGCTGGTGCTGCTGGCCCTGGGACCCCACTTTGAGAACCAGCAAAAGTAATCTTTGTCATCAGGTTCCACAAACCTCACTTTCAGCTGAATGGCCTCCAGAGTGGCTGCTCTCTCCTGCTACCTGTCCCTCCTGGTGACATGTTCCAGGGATTTGTCAGACTGCTGTGATGTCTGAAGTGCTCTGCCTCTCTCCCCACAGCTCCGACGGCCTTCCTCCTGGAGCTCACTGCACCGGCAGCCTCTCAGCATCCCAACCTGGTCCCAAGCAGCCCTGTCCCCTCACTCAGTGTCATCCTGAAGTCATCCCAGTGCAAGGTCCTGCTGACCAAGTGGATCCTGTCATCCATCGCTCACCAGAAACTGACACTCAGGCACCTCAGAGTCTGGGGTTCCGGGTTCAAATGGCTTCCAAAGGGGCTCTGTGTCTCGTGGTGGATTTTGGAGACAGTTCTGGGGTTCGAATGAGGACCTGCAATGTGTCTGAGGAAATGGCGGTTACTGCCTCCCACCAGTATGGGAAAGGTAGGGTTCATGGGGTCAGTATCAGGAGCACGGGAAGGAAATGCTGAATATGGTGAGACCTCAGTGCTGGGAGCCTTCTGCTGCTCTAGACCCATCTGCACCTTCCCTGTTCTGATAACAAAGGCTCGAGGAACTTGCCCTGTGCCTGCTGTTCATGTACTTTCATTTAGTCCTCCCGTCAACCCTGGGGGTAGATCAGGGTCTCCATTTAGAGGAGCACGCGAAGGCTGGAAGGGGCAAGGGGTTTGTCCTGAGGTCACACAGCTAATGCAGCCGAGTTACTTCCCCTACAGAGAGAAACTTCTAAGCTACTGTTGTCGATCACTTATATTGTCCTTCAAGTGCAACACACACGGGCACACAACATTGCGCACTAAATCTTTTATGTTAAAATTTTGAATACTTTGCATTTAGACCACAGTGAGGAAAAAAAGTCCTAATACAAACATTTCAGCATTGGAACCATTCTGCTTAGACAACTGCTAAGTCCACAGAGCTGATGGTGTGGAACATGTGGAGAATTCAGATGCTTTCCTGCCTACCAGCAGAATTTAACTTTTTTCTTTCTTTTTGTTTTTTTGAATCATTCTTTGAACGTGGCACATTCTCAAGGTTCAAATCCCCACATTATAGAAAGAGACGTGGTAAAAGGTCCTCTTCCTGCTAACTGTCCAGGTCCCTCGCCACACGCAACACTGCTTCTGTTTCTTATATCTTTAATATATTTATAAGCGAGTACGAATGTGATCTTTCCCTCTTGGACAGAGATGGAAGTCTCCTGCATACAGATTCCTGCTCCCTGCTCACTTAGATGCGCTTCCACATCCTAGAGGTATTTCTATATCTGCACAGAAGGAGCTTCCCTGTTCTTTTGTGTAGTTGCAGAATATTCCATCAATTTAATGGGCCAAATCTCCTTAACATTTTCTTTTATTGGCAGACATTGAGATTTTTTTCGAAACTTCCGATGTTACAAACAACATTGTGGTGAATAATCGCATGTATATACCATTTCATAGAAAAGAGGGATTATTGCCTCAAATGCTATGTACGTTTGTAACTTGATAGTCGTTGCTAAGCCGCTCTCAATGAGGATCGTCTAGTTTAGACTCCCGTGGGGAGTGCCAACGTCAATATGAAAGGTGAAAACTTATCTTTCCCCGGTTTTAATTTGCGTCTTACTAGGTTCAACTATGTGAAATTGCCAACATTTGACCATACTTTACCAGGAAAAAGAGCACTTTCGTGGTTCAACGTGATATAGTGTTTGTATGAGCGCTTTTAGTAATTACGAAAGTTAGTCCTCTTACTACTATATAGTTGCAAATATTGTATTCTTTTCTCAAGTTGTCGTTTGTGTTTTGGCTTTGTTTCTAGTTTTTTCCTTTTCATGGAAAAATTTTAATTTTTATTAAGTGTACTTTGTCAATCCTTTCTTCTATGATTTTTGAGTTTTATGTCATAGGTTGGAATGCTGTTTTTACTCCAAGTTTATAAAATAATTCTCTCCTCTTTTCTCCTAGTATTTTTATAATTCCATTTTGCACATTTCAATATTTGATACACTTAAATGTATATTCTGGCATAAAGTCTGAGGTGTAGATTCTATTTATTTTTCTGAGTGTCCACCCACTGCCCCCTGCCCCCTCATTGCTTCGGAGGGCGCCCCTGTCATCGCTTAATTTCCTTGAGCTTTCTGGCAATTTTGATCTAAGGTTCTGTTCTGCTCCATCTAGGGTTCCTTCCCCTTTGTTACTCATCTTTTCTAAAATTATCCTGGTTATTTTCACTTCTTCATTTTTCCATGTGGCGTTTAGACTCACACTGACTAGTATAAAAATATCTTATTGGCATTTTAATTTGGATAATGTTAAATTTCTAAATTAATTTATACAGAATATTTATGCTGAAGCGTCTCCCCCTTCATGAAAATGCCCTCTCTTTTCATTTCTTCCTTGTGTCTTTAGAAGCATTTAAAAATTTCTCCATGTGGAATTTATATATTTTCTGTAAGATATTTTATTTCTGTGCTGTTGTGAGATCTTTTCTTTCATTTTATCTTCAAATTGGTTGTCATTGGGGTGTAGAAAAGTTGACGATATTTGCTATTAATTTTTTACCCTCCAATTGTACTGAATTCTCATATTGTTTTAGTCATCGTGAAGTTTATTCTTTAGTGTTTCAGTTACGTAAACATATTTACACATGGTAATTTGTCAGCCTCACACTGCCAATGTTGCAGCTTTAGTGTCTTTCTCTTATTTAATTGCATTGGCTGGTACTTCCAAAACAAGGTTAAATAGGAGAGATGATAGTGGGCATCTTTGTCTTGAGATATTTCTAGTCTTTTCCCATTAAAATTGATACAGGATTTGGGGTGGATGTAATTTATCAGATTAAGGAAGATTTCATCTTTCCTCCTTTATTGAGGACTTTTTTAAAAATCAAAAGTTGCTGAATTTGTTAAATCCTTTTCAACATCTGTGGAGCTGATCTTATGATCTTTTTTCCTCTTTAGAGCTACAAATATTAACTAATATCTTAATATTGAATCATCTTTGAAGTCCTAGGAGGGAAATACTCACTTGATTTTGGTGTATTCTTCTATGAATGTGCTACTGAGTTCATTTTTCTAACATTTTACTATGATTCTTCACTGGTAATCATAAACGGGACCGGTCTCAATGTTATTTAGAGATTGTCTTTATTTTTCATTTGTCCTGAAATAGTTTAAATAGCGTTGGAAATAGTTGTTCTATTTTGGAGAATTTGCTTATAACCATCTGAGACTGGTACATTTTTCTTGTTAACTCTATTTCTTCTATGATGTCTTCTTCTATTTCTTCTATAGAAATTCATCTGTTGAGATCTTCTGTTTCTCTTGTAGTTAGTTCTTTAAAGTCATAGTTTCTTAGAAAAGTATCCATTTAGTCCAGGTTTTCACATTTATTTGCATGGAAGTGAACAAAACAGGCTCCTATGTTTCTTTAAATTAGGTCAGTCTCTATGTTATTTCCTTTCTGTCATTTCTTATTTTCTGTTTTATGTGTTCTCCTCTTCTCTTTTTCTTGATTAAATTGGATAAATTTTCACTAGTTTATTTAAAGAACAAGCTTTTGAATTTTGTTAATTACATTTTTTCCCATAAGTTTATTAATTTCTGCTTTGTTTTTTTAAAAGGAAGATTGACTCCCTGAACTAACACCTGCCTCCAATCTTCCTCTTTTTACTTGAGGAAGATTTGCCCTCAGCTAACATCTGTGCCAGTCTTCCTTTATTTTGTATATGGATCGCTGCCACAGCATGGCTGACCAGTGGTGTAGGTCCATGCCTGGGTTCCAAACTCACAAATCTGGGCTGCCGATGCGGAGCGTGCTGAACCTAACCATTCTGCCATGGGGCAGGCCCCATTAATTTCTGCTTTTATCTTTACTTTTTTCTTCCTGCTTTTATAAACTGTTTTTGTTCTTGTTTGCCATTTTGAGTTAGATACTTAAATTATTTACTATTGTTTAAATTTTAAAATTTCTGCATGTCATATGGGCTTTTTTGTGTGCTAGTTTCACTATTACAGTACTATTCTATCATGATAAGCAAATATTTTCTCCACTCTTGTGCCCTCTTTAATTTTTTAAGTTCTGACGTTGTCTTTGTGGCTTAAAATGTGGTCAGTGTTAGAAATGAAAATCATGACAGACAGCGGGTTATAGGAGAGTCCCAGCCCTGTGTCCCCCAACCCCAAGGCTGTTGGCTCCGGGCACCTTCCATCTGCTGAGCCCTGTGCTCACCCTCAGCTCTGATCCCGGGAAGGCATGTGTGAGTGTGTGTGTGTGAGAGAGAGAGAGAGGTAATAGAGAGAGACAGAGACAGAGGGAGAGGGAGAGGGGAGGACCTTGCCTAAGGCAGGGTTCAGGGCGATCCTCCCATGAGGTAGCACCCTGCCCTAAGTAGATAACCCTGCCCTCTTTGCCCTTCCTTTGACTGTGCCCCCAGTTTCTTTAATAAGCGTGTGATGAAAGCAGTGTGTTGTGTTCCGTTCTCAGGCTCCTGCAGCCTCGGGCACATTCTGCACTCCTCACAGCAGCCTGTTACAGTTTTGGTCATTCTTTCATTTCCCACCTTTTAGAATCACTGTTTTCAGTATTTCTTTCGTCTACGGGGGAGTTGACTTTGCTGTGTGTGATCCATTCTGGTAGTCTTATTTTAATAGATGAGTTTAGTGAATTTGTCTTGACTGAAATGACAGATATCTGGTCTTAGCTCTGTTATTCTTTACGTTATGGGCTCTGTACACATTTTAAGATATATTTCATTAAATATTTGTCTGAGTTAGTGTTCTGAAATTCGGGAGGCTTGCACCCTTGTTTTAGTTGATGCTTTTATTTATAACTCCATCAAGGTCCTCATCCTTCTGTTTCACAGTATCTATTCTTTACCCACTCCACGCAATGATGAAATTCGTGGGTTCTCTCTTTCTTCCCCTCCCTGCCCCTGACTTCTTCATCACCCAAGTTTAATCATTTAAATCATCTTTATTAGTATTTTCCTTTGTACTCTTAAATATGCTTATAGCTTTGTTAATTGTTTTGTTAAGTGTGTGGACAATGCCTTCTACTTTCCAGCATTACATATGAGGCAGTCTGCATTTCCACAACCTCCCACCTCTTGCTGGCTTTCCCTTCCCATTTGGGTTTGTTGTATAATTTCTCCATGGTCAGACACATACCTACATTCTTTGTCAACTACTTCCCCACATTTGTTTTAGTTCTATTTCTATAGTTAAATTGATTCAGTTCTCACCCTTAGTCCTTTTGCCATAGTTTTCCCATTTGAAGTTTGCCCACTAGTAGATTTTTTTTTAATATAAAGTCTTTATTTTTTAGAACAGTTTTAGGTTCACAGCAAAATTGAGAGGAAAGTGCACAAATTACCCACATACCCTGCTCCCCACGTGCCCAGCCTCCCCCATTGTCAATATCCCCCTCCCCAGGAGAGGATGT